TCAAGAAGACTCTCTATTCTTATACATTGTGGATATTTCCTCTGAGAAACAATAATTCAATGTATTCGAGGTATTTTCAGACAAAAAAAGGACTCAGGGCAAATGCACTAAACTGCCCTTTCTCTTGGATGGGTCAAACTGAGCTAGCTAGGATGCTAGTCTCTTATATCATGTGAACCCAGTGGGACCAGAATGCAGGGCTGTATAATAGAGGCTACAAGCCAATGGTCAATTCATCTGCACATGTGCTTCCCTAGACCCAGAGTGTATTTAAAAACGCACCAAATCCATAGATTTCACATAAAAATTTATATTTTATGGCAATCAGAGGGTCCCCTCAATCTTAAGCCCACCTTGATGGCAGCTTTCAGTAAAAGCTTAGTAGTCTCAATTCCTTTTGATGAGCCATGGGCTCTTGAGTTCCTTACCACCCTCTATGATATCTGTAACTAAGGCCACTGCAGCTATAATTTTTCATTATGTTTATGTTACTGTTTTTTCTTATGTAGAGAAATATTTCTCCAAATCTTGCCTCTTTTGACAATTTGAATGATTAGTCTCAAGTCCTCACCCTTCCTTGTATCTGCCCCTTTAAAATGTTCTTTTCATGGGTAGAGTGTACTTCCCTAATCCCTGCTTATTTGCTCAGCCATGTGCCTTGCTTTGGCCAGTGAGGTGGGATGAAAATCACAGTGTTATTTTAAGTCTAGGCCTTATGAGACCTTGCAAGTTTTTGCTTACTCTCTTGTGCCTCTGTTACTGTCATCATAAGAGTTTCCCCTGGGTGACCCCCTTCAGCCTGAGTCTCAGAATAAACATATGTGGAAGGGAGGTGCCCTAGAGACTCACAGACTTGCAGAAATAGGAATGCTCATTCAAACCCACCGTGGAGAAGCTGGGCCATTTAGTCAATCCGAAAAATCTGTTACAATAACTACTGATGCTTTAAAGCCACTGAGTTTTGGGATGATTTGCTACATAGCATTATTATGTCAATTGCTAACTGATACATCTCTACCAAAAATTTAGATTAAGACAGGCTGAAAGAATGAGACATCATAATTTTTTCTTACATGCAAACCTGTTTCTTATTTGTGCTAATAGCCTAGACCTTGAAGGCATCTGAGTTTGCAATTCTTGCCATAAAACTATAAACCTAAGAACTAAAGAAAGTGGGGTTTGTGAAATGTTTCTTAGCATGACTGTATATCTAAATTGGACTGAAATGGCCCAGTTTTTGCCCATTGCTATTATGTCCTGGTTTGAATACATTCAACTTTGTCTCCAATTTTCATAACTAGTTGAATCTCTTCAATCTCTCTTTTATAACCTCATCCAACAGCTATTATTATTGCAGAAAATACTCTACCTGAGATTTTTCTGGATATGATACCTATTTGGTTGATCAAAATCAGTAAGTCATAATGTCCAACCCTTACAAAAAACTAGTATAGAATAATTCAAATTTAGTAGGTGCCAATCCCACATCTACTAACCAATCAATCAATCAATCAACCAACTGTCCAACTAACCAAAAATGATCCCAGCTGACAGACACCTATTAAAAGGCTTAAGAAGCTAACTCATAAACAGGAAATACTTAAAACAACAGTAATATTAAAAAAATCAAGTGCCCCAAGAATGGAAAGTTCTGTCTTCAGAAGGCAGTAATTACTGCATCTGAGTACATCTGCTTAACAATCCAAGAAAGTGGGAGTTTCACTCTCTATTAACCTTAACCAGAGACATTTTCATCAAAATTAATTGTGATTACTTTTTATTGCATTTCAAATGCTATCCTTTATATGGGGTGGTCAGGAATGCAACTAAGCAATTCCAGACCATTCTGTCTTTTACGAATAGGTCTATGAGGTAGTTATCAAGAGGCCCCTTATAAAAATATTGCTATGCAAAAAGTTCATGAGTCAAAACAAGACATTAATTTCCATAACTAGATGTGTCCTTAGAAATGACTATATATAGAAGACAGCAAGTCTGATGCTCAACGCATATCGAGTAGAACTATATAAATGCCCACACATATCATAGACAACAATTTCACAAAATGTTCCTTTTATCTTTTCCTTGTTATCATAATAATAATTAATCATTAATACTTATTGTGAGCATAACTTGTGCCAAGTAAAATTCTAAATTCTTTATAGGTATTGCCTTTAATTCTCAGAGCAACCCTGGAGTAGATACAATTATTATTATTCCCATTTCACAGATGAAGAAATTGAAATGAGGGAGAGTAAGTCACCTGCCCAAGAACATTCAGCTAGTAAATTCTGAAGCTTGGAATGAATGCTGGGCATTCTAGCTCCAGAGTCAGTTAAGGAAAGATGGTAACACTCACCTCACTGAAAACTACCACCACAATCAATTGGTCTGTAATGTTTTGTGCCCTGACTGTACTTTGCTCTACATAGACTCTATACCTTTGCTGACAGTTTTCCTTCCTGGAGTGCCTTCACTACTGCTGAGTCCCTCCCATCTCAGACTCATTTAGCTGTCATCCTGTCTGCTCCATGAAGTCTCTCTGCCACTCCAGTTTTCTTTCTTTCTCAAGTCCTCTCTTAGAACTCTTCTCCAGAACTCACCATCCAAAGATGGTCAGATCTAAGTTTGAGTCCTGGCTCTGCCACTTACTAGCTAAGTAATTTTGGGCAAGTTATGTAACCTCTCAGAGCCTCCTCCTTCTTGTACATCAAATGAGATAATAGGTTGTCTATCCATTACCCATATGATGGCTGTAATGGATCTCTACGGTTTTACCATCCAGCATCCCTTCTAGTAACACACTCTTTTTTTTCTTGTGTGAGGTCACCTGTTACCACTCTCAGCCCATAGGATTCGGGTGTGGCTAACTGCTATCCCCTAGGCTCCAGGTGATTACATCCTGGCCTAGCCAATATATGCATTCGTACAGGTCTGAACTTTTGCTAGAATCATCAGGAAAGAACCTCTCTCCTCTCCAAGTATGACTGCACTCACAGTGGAGGCTGGCTGCTGGTGGTCAGGTTTGGCATCACTGTGGACAGCTTTCCTAAGAATCAAGACAACAAGGAGCAGAGTGTACCTATGAGTAGGATGGAGACAGATCCCTAATGCCTGGATCTGAGTGTTGGAATATCTGAGTGTAGTCAGGCCTGAAGTCCACCATGGCCTTTTCAGTTAATTGATTTCCCTTTTTGCTTACTACAGATTGAATTGTGTTCCTATCAATTGCAACCAAGAGTCCCAACTAACTCAACTCATATAAGAATTAAATAGGTGCTGGAGCGCCTGAGTGCCTTTCAGTTAAGCGTCTGTCTTCAGCTCAGGTCATGATCCCGGGGTCCTGGGATCGAGTCCCACATTGGGCTCCCTGTTCAGTGAGGAGTCTGTTTCTCCCTCTTCCTCTGCCCCTCACCTCCAGTTATATACACACTCTTGCTCTCTCTCTCAAATAAATAAATAAATAAAATCTTTTTTAAAAAAAGAATTAAATAGGTGCTGTAAAGTACATAGCCTAATACCCACCATACTGAAAAGTTCAATAAATGATAGCTACTACTGCAATTGTTCCTCTACATTAGTTTCTTGAAGGCAGGGAGACCCAGAATCAGGTAGCTCTCTACTTTTTACTAGCATGTCACATCATAACTTTTCTGAGACTCCAATTTTACCAAATGTAAAATCACCAACATTGTGGTAAGAAACAAATGAGAATATATGCTTGGCAAGGCAATAAAATGTTCTACAAATTTTAGTTCTCATGATCTCACTCTGTAGGCTCCAATCTAACATCTCCTACGACTGGTGGGGAAACTAAGACCCAAATCCTAGGACAAGAACACTGAGAAAGCTGTGGATTCAAATAAGCTACCAGTCCATGCTAAGGAGTTGCCACGCCTGAACAAAGGACCTGATGGTACTACTGTGCTAACCAAATCAGACATGCATGCAAAGGGGCTTGACTGAAATCATTAAGGCACCTCCAAAACACAGAGACAAAAAGAAACTAATATTGACTAAGTAACTTCCATGTGCCATGCTCTGTGCAAGACATTTCCTTTTATTTCATACTCTAGAATAATTATTTATTTCTCTTTTGGTCAATTAAAAAGATGAACTGTGAGTACATATTGAAACTATCTAACTTCTTCTATCTCCAAGGAGGAAACCTAATATATAACTGGAGAAAGACACTAATTAATAAGCAAAATTTAACATGAACTCTGGCCAAGTTGAACTTGAACTGCTCTGTTTAAAGGCACACTGGAATAAATAAAGGAACTTCAAAGCAAATGCCCTGTTTTAGCTTGAATGTTTTATTGAGCACATGGGGAGAGCTCCTTTGCCAAAAATAGGGATGTTAATGAGGAAAAATTGGTGTTTTCAGTCAGCCAGTTGGTTTCTGAGATAGGTCTGTCCATTCAGTGATAACTATATTCCACAGAAAAGACAGAATAATGATGTCTCAGAGCCTCAGAGTTTTTTTTTTTTTTTTTAGAAGAGCCTCAGAGTTTTGAGTAAAACAAAACCAGTTTTGTGAACTATCTGAGATCAACTTAATGCATCCTTTTTCAAATAGCTTCTGTGATAATACACATATATTTCCCTTCTACTAACGCCAAAACCATTGAAATATAATTCTAAAAGGGGTATATGTCTACATTTTAAGCTTTTTGCCAACTATATAAACACAGCCCTTACCTTTTCTTTTTTTTTTTTTTTTTTCAGCCCTTACCTTTTCAAGTGAGGTATAAAAACCAATGGACTCCATACAGCTTTAAAGTTTCCACCATAATCAGCTCTTTTTGGGCACCACTCTGAAAATGATTCTCCACAGTTGTAAAGACCTATTGGGTTCTCTAGGAGTACACTGTTCGTGCTGGACTCAGAGCTAAGGCAAGTCTCCCATTTCTGTGCATATTTTCTCACAGTAATGGGTACCTGTTAGAGAGAGTCAATCTCCAGTTATTTAGGTTTTAAAAGGAGAAGCCTGAGCTCACCTGCAAGTGCTGTGAGTTGTCAGCCACGCTATCTTCTCGCCTGCGGACTTCTTCCAGTAACTGGGCATTTTTCTTCTTTTCCAACTGTTGATTGTGCTTGAGGTTGGCCACCTTCTTATTCTGATCCTTCATATGCCTGACAAAAGTCAGCAGAGTGTGGTTAAATTCAACCACTGGAAGATCATATGTTATCTTAGAAATACTAAGTATAGAATATATTGATATGGATTCAGGAAAAGTTGAAACTTCAGAATATTCCATTAATTCAATCACAAGTATGCATTGAGTAACCAATTAATGCCAAGTGCCAGTATGGCACTGGGGCTGCCATGGTGAATGAGATATGTATAGTCTTCACCCAACTCATGGAGCTTAAATGTCAGTGGGAGACACAGACCAGGACCAAGAGACACAATTTAGGCTTCCTAAAGGAGAGGAAATAAATTGCATGCTGTGAAAGATGATGATGCACATTGCATTTCTGGAAAGGCATGGGGTAGGAAGATGATTTTAGGCACAGTGGCCTGGAAACCGCCCCAAAGGAGGTGAGACAGTGGGTAAGACTCCAAGGAGCCAGCCAAGAATTGCCAGTGGAGGGAGGGAATTCCCAAGAGGAGGGAACAGCAAGTAGAATTCCCAAGGTAAAAAATGACCAACTACTTCCAGGAACTGGAAGGCTGCTGAGAGGCTAGCCCAGGGTGAGAGGGAAGAGAATCCCCTCTTCCTGGGAACCTGTGACTACAAAGGTAGGTGGGACTTAGGGAACACAAGGCCCCTGGTCTGTGACGGGGCATTTATTTTCTTCTAAGTGGTTGCTCTTATAATTATTATTATTCTTTTGGATCATGTTCCTATTCTGAGATCATAATCCATTACTTTGATTTTAAAATAACAATTACAAGGCTCCAATCAAATACATTGTCATCACTTAGCTCAAACAGAATAACACTTTGGCTAATCATCATGTTAAATAAAGCCCTGGTGCTTGCAATAAAAGTTCTTAATGAATCTACAGGATCTCAAAGTGCAAAATCATAAAGTGATCAAGTGAGAAAAAGACTAAGGACAAAGGATGGGTTAGAAGAGTGGGGGGAGGAGTGCTAGGCTTAATGTGGACTATTTCACCAGCAGTGTTTAGCAAAACATTCCACAGATTTAGGCAACCATGTCCATGGCAGCTGGTATAAATCTAATCTCACACATGAGGAGGCAAAAGGGCAGTACAGAGAGGGCTTGAGAGCACTGATTCCAAAAGAGGAAGACCTCAGAGTAGAATCTTTTGGGATCCTTCCTGAATCCTCCCAGCCCCCCCAGGCATTGCTAAGTCAGTCACTATCATGGAGTCCTGACTCCCAAAGCAAGTGAGAATCACTGCTCTCACGGAAACATGTACAAGATAAGAATTAGATGATATGCAGTAAACATGTTGAATTGAAACAATTGCTAATCAAATGGAAGCCACTCTGAAGAAGAAAAAACTTCTATTTCTAATCCTCATAAAATTATATACTCTGCTACTCCCTCTCTCTCCAAGAAAATAAAGTTCAAGAGAACTTATTAAGCTGAATGATCTTCTATCAGAAATCCTGCTAATGAAAATATTCTGAACATGTTGGTCCTTATGAAAACTTACAGTACTGGCTGAAGCAGTGATTTAACAATTTCTGGTGACACTTATTAACAGGAATGCGGTGAGAGCCATCTACTTGGTCAACATTCGGATTGGATAATTTTTGTCTGACGTTTCCTTGTTTTTACCCAATAAATACACACATATAAAACTACCAACTCAAGTCTACGTGCGAATCTTCTTTTAGAAAATTACCTTTTGGTTACTACAAAGATATTGAGAACAACTTCTCGCTTCCTAATTGAACAAGGATATAGTATTTCCAAAACTCATACTAACCAAAGGCAAGCACACTTTCCAGCTCAGGAAATAAGGTCCATGCCCAGAAATAGCATGTGATGGAGAGGTCAGTGTTATTAGTGAGATTAAGTAGAGGACATTTTTATAAAGAAAAGCTTTTTATAACTTTGAAGCAGACACTACACAAAACCAACTACTAAACATTTTTTTTCTCCAAGCACCACTAAAAAAGAAAATAGAGTATTACTGCAAATATCATTTGCATAAAGAACTCCCACAAAGTTCTTGGTGCAGTATGAACATACATAGATCTTACTTTCAGGGATACTGCAGTGTTTTTTACAATCCAAAAATTATAAAATAAACCTCCAATTCCATGCATCCCGTAAAGCTTCTCTGAATTAAGAATGAGTGGCTAGGAATAATGAAAAACTGAAGTCCGGACATTGTGACAGAGGCCTATTCTCAGTATTCTCCAACCATTCGTTCAAGTGTTGCCTGACGTAGGACGCATGATTGGAAAAGAAAAGCTGGGATTTGAATGGCACTGCTTAGAACTGCCAATTAGGTGGATGCAGAGCAAGGTGATGAAAATGATCATTTTGTCTTTGTACACATGAATATCAATAGATACCTAGAAAGTATACACAGTCCCTTACAGGAGTGCTAGGTTTTCAAATATAATTCTAGCAGAAGAAATATATTTCCTTCTTTTAGTAAAAGCTTACTTGAAAGCCAAAAAAAGAGAAGGATTGTACTGGCAAAGGTAGGAAAGAGGTAAGGGGTAGGAGAGACAGGTAAAGAAGTCATGAAATTTAAAAATATGAGATCCCCTGATCAAGAGAAAATACCCCCACAGAAGCTCACTAGACACTTTTTGAAGGAATGGTCACTGTGATTTTTGCTAGTAATAACTTCATCTCCAGGAATAAAATCTCTGGTGATCTATCACTCCCAGCCTCTCCTCCCACCTGCAGAAGTAAACCACATGCATAAATAAATGGGGCTAACTCAGAACAGCTCTCAATGGTACTAAACTCAGGAAAGTAGAACCCCTGGGGGTGTAGAATGCAAAGCCCTCTGGCAACATGGCCTCAAAAGAGAGTATCATTGGTAACCATTTCCCAAATTCCCACCCACTAGGCAACTCAGATTCTAAAGCTCTGCCAGAAAAAGACCTGCTCCATATTCATAAATAAAGTTGACTTGGGGCAAACTTTTTTCTCCAGGAAAACAAAAATTTTAAGAAGGCCATTATGGAGGGAGGCAGATGGAGATTAGTTGGAGAGTAGAGTAGCAAGGTCAGTTTTCATCATTCAATTTAAAATTAACTAGTTTCATAAAGCAAGTCATGTCACTTTTCAAAACTCAGCCATCATTAAGGAACTTCGATTAAATAAAAAAATTCCATTAGATATCAAGATCAACGATGGCATCTATATTAGGAATGAATGTCAGAGAGGACAGAATCCTGCTATTCACTAGAACAGTCTATCAAATTAAAATTAAAATTAGAAAATGTTCCCTAATTTGCTGGTTGAGAGATTATTAGGCTTTGGGGCCTCTACAATTACATAGCTGGGAGGGAGTGTGGAGCAGGGAGTACGTATGTTTCTCTAAGTGCATGTGTATATTGTATATACAGGAGAAAATAAAAACTTCTCTTTTTTTTTAAATCTCAGCAGAAAAAGATGCCACTTTTTACCTATCTGCTCTCAAAAACGTTAAAAGATTCATAATCTCCATTGCGAGAGAAGGCCAGAATCTAAATCTCTTATATGCAGTCAGAAAGAATATAATTGACAAAAATTGGTTGCAAAATTATAAACCAATTTGGCAGTATCCACCAAAGTGTCCATACCTTTTGCCCAAGCAAATACACTTCTAGGAAAGTAGCCTAAAAAAATGCTTGCAGCATATGCATGAATATTTATATACAAAATTTTCACTACAGCACTATCAAAGTGAAAATTTGGTAACTGCCAAATTGTCCATCAGAAGGAGATTGGCTGAAGAAATCAACTGCATGCACACTCTGATACTACAAGCTAGCTAAGAAGATTAAGGCAAAACATGGAAAGCCCTTCAAGACATATCATTAATTGAAAAAGAAAGCAGGTAGCAGAATAATATATATATGCCTGATCTTATTTATGTTAAAATATTAAAGCCTGTCCTTGCATGGAGCCTGCTTCTCTCTCTGCCTGTGTCTCTGCCTCTCTCTCTCTCTCTCTCATGAATAAATAAATAAAATCTTAAAAATATATATTAAAGTCTGTTTGGAGATACACACACACACACACACACACACACACACACACACACACATCCTATTGAAATGGAAACCTCACACCAGTCTGTCAACAGTGGTTACCACTGAGGAAGGGAATGAATAAGGGAAGAAGGGGGAGTTTTCATGTGATACTGTATGCATTTGTGTGTCTGTGCAAGTGAGGTATAAATATATACAAGAAAATGCACAGATATTAAGTGTAAATATCAATGATTTTTGACCATTTAAAATATAGACCATTGCCAGGCACATGTCCCTGTCCCCTGACAGGAAGTAATCGTTAACCCAACTTTTTATCTCCATGGATTTGTTTTATCTATTCTTACATTTCATATACATGGAATCACACAGTACATGCCCTTTTGTTCTGATTTCTTTGACTCAGTATAAAGTTTTTGAGACTCATTTATATTGTTCTTAAGTTCTATCTTATTGCTGAAGTCAAGTGGTATTCCATTATATGAATATACTACAGCTTGATTAGCCTGTTTTATATTTGGGCCGTTTCCAATTTTTTACTGTGAAGAATAAGGTAATTTAAGACAAAATCAGAGAGGGAGACAAGCCATAAAAGGCTCTTAACTATGAGAAACAAACTAAGGGTGGGTGGAAGGGAGGTTAGATGGGGGAACAGAGTAACTGGGTGGTAGGCATTAGGAGGTCATGTGATATAATGAACACTGGGTGTTATATGCAACTGATGAATTACTAAACTCTACCTCTGAAATTAATAATATACTATATGTTAATTAAGTGAATTCAAATAAAATAAAATTAGAAAAAAGAATAAGGTTGCAATGAACATTCTTGTATCAATATTTTTATGGATATCTGTTTTCTTATATCTTGGTAAAATAACCAGATGTAGGTACAACTGGGAGTGTAAATGGTATAACCCCCATGGAAAACAATTACAGGTTATAAGAATCTTCCAGGAACCACTGAAAGATAGAAAGTAGTGGCATAAACTCCG